TTACACGACGAGTATGATAAAAAATCGCCTTGCACAAATGTTTACCAATTTAACTATACGCTAAATTCTGAATTATATTGCATGTTATATATAAACAAACTAATTAACAATAATAAATATGATCATATGCTTATTGAATTAAATGCTAAAGAGTTGGCTACATCAAAGTTCCTAATGGTTACATTGCGATCGCCTGTTGAGTCATGTTATACACCCGAACCAATCAATATCATTGATTTCTATATGAAAAACAATACAGGCATACATATTAGATATAAACCAACCTTGGTCAAATCATTTGTTAACCCTTGTCACGGCGATAATGATCGAGCCTACATGAATTACTGTGCATTAATGAGATGTTTTATTGAGCAAGGACATAATGGAAAACAATTAGCGCAGCATGAAATAGGGTATCATAATAATAGCCAGTGTTATAATATAAACAACCTTTATTTTAACAAAAGTGATCAATGGAGTTTTAAGAAAGCAATGCAATGTAGTGCTAAATATTATAATTATTATAAAAATAATCTATGTGTTAAATACTATTATTCATTAGATTACAAGTTTAAAGAATTTAATAATGATAGTTATCATGATAGCTATGATGGGTATCCAATTGGGATCAGACAATGGGGTTCAGAGCCGACGACTGTATACGAGATATCACTGAAAATGTCTGCCGAAGAATACATTAGTCTAACGGCGAGTGTTATTAGTCTATGGTTTGGATTCTCTATCATTATGTTTACGCATAACTTATGGGAAATGTTGGTCAAAATAAATATTCAATATTATTTCAACAAGGTGACATCATGTTTTATTAATCAGGTTAATAATTGTTTTTGTTCGCAACAAAACATTTCCATTAGGGTTATAAACAGTCAACGAATTATTGTGGGTAATGTGAATATAAATTAAAGTTAACTTATTCAAGTTAAAAATTCAATTTCATTAGTAAGTCAAATGTAAATGTTTTTCATTATTTAATTTACAAAGGTGAAGGTTGGTGGTAGTTACCCAAAACTATACAATTAAATAATAGTAAAGATTATTAATATAAGGATTTATAAGTTCAAGAGTCGTTGAAAATAAACCTTTTGAAAATGAATTATTTTATTGTTTGCAATTGGTAATTATGTCCACCACTTGCCTAAAATATCCATTGATCATTTATTTTAAATAATTTGTGTCCAAATCGCATATAAATGTCTGTCCAACCGATGTCTGGCCACCCGTACGGCAGCACATATTAGACATTGTTTTATACAAATTTATAATGAGCTTATATGACGCGATTGCTCACTTGTAAAATTAAACACACTTATAATGTAAATTGTATAAGTGTATATGAATGACCACTAAAGCTAAAATTGTGCCGCGCCCTTGATTGTAGCCGTGGTGGTCACCCGATGTTTGGTCACTTATCGGGAGTGTTTAAACTGGTTCGGGACTCCGATGCCTAACATGTTGGCTAAGGATATGTTCATAGGGTAGGGATGCAGTGAATAGACTATTAAAAATCACTTAGACATGTTTAGGAACGGCTAACGAATAAATTAACGGTATTTTCACATTATTTCAATGCTAAAAAATTACTTAAAAAAGTAATTTTTAAAATAAAAGCGGAATTAAAGTTTAATTACAAGGGGTATAAAATCTATACCCACACTGCCTTCAACCCTCATATACCCCCTACCTATAACCACAGATACCCAGCATTTCTAATGTCTGTGAGAGATATGATGTTGAAAATGGTAGATGTCATCAAATCGGGAGTGTCTTCAGATTATGGTCTTAAAATCAAGTTTAATCTTTAATTAGGAAATTGGAAAATTTGTGACACAATGGGGGATAATATATGATTATTGTAGCGAATAGACCGCTGATCAAAGTTCATTATTTTAAGAATGAAAAATACCTGAATTTTATTACTTCCAAACGACTCTTGAACAAATAATTCCTTATAATTGTAAATTTTATTTAGTTTTAAATTCCCCCTATCTAATTTACCTTATTATAATACTCAAAATTGTATTAAAAAGTTATACGATTGTATAAACTGCTGTAGATATATTTATAATAAAGCCATAAATATTTAGTCAGTATTGGGTAATAATAATTTGATGTGTATTATTGATCTTTATGAATCATTAAAATATAGACATATCATAGTAATGACTTATTTTAATATTTATTATTTTATTATATTTACATCAATATTTAATTAACTATAATATAACACAACAAACAATACAATTAATACTAGTCTAGAATAAAATATTATTATACTTAAAACTGTTACTAAGAATGGTTAAGATAATATTCACATAAATGTAAAATAGCACATTCTGGTAAAATACCATATTCTTTATACTTGTTAATTTAACAATAATGGCATTATTTAAAACAATATTTAAAATAATATCAAACTTGGTATGTTTGATAGGATGTGTGTATCAAACGTATAAAATAAGTGAATTATACTTTTCATACGAAACCACAACTAATGTCATATATAAATTGGACTCGGAAAACATCATCATGCCCACAATTGCCCTGTGTATGGATAAAATGGCAGTAATTAATAAACACATCAAAAGTGATTACATATTCAACAGTACATCATTTAACAAACTTTCAATTGGCGATCAGTTTACCATGATAAAACCACCCAACCAATGGCATAAGTGTAATTTATTCAATGCTAATAGTACCAAATCACCTTGCACAAATGTTTACGAATTTAACCAGACATTAAATTCTGCTTACTATTGCATAAACCATATAAACAAACTAAACAACAATAATAAATATAATCATATGATTATCGATTTAAATCCTAAAGAGCTTGCTACATCAAATACTGTATTTGTTAGCCTACGATCGCCCATTGAGTCAATTTATTCACCCGAGTCACTCAATCTTATTGGTTTCTACGTTAAAAACAATACAGGTATACTTATTAAATACAAACAAACTCTGGTTAAATCATTGGTTAAACCTTGCCATGGCCAAAATGATCAAGCTTATCTTGATTACTGTGCATTCTGTAGATGCTTTATTAAGTGGGGATACAATGGCACACAATTAGCGCAACGGGAAGTATCATATTACAATAATAGCCAATGTTATAACATAAACAACCTTTATTTTAATGAGAGTGATCAAGACATTTTTACTAATATATTACATCATTGTATTGCTAAATATTATCTTTACTACAAAAGTAAACTATGTATTAAATATTATTATTCATTGGATTACAAGTTTATAGAATTAGATAATAATAGTTATAATTGGTATCCAATTGGGATCAGACAATGGGGTTCAGAGCCGACGACTGTATACGAGATATCATTGAAAATGTCTGCCGAAGAATACATTAGTCTAACGGCGAGTGTTATTAGTCTATGGTTTGGATTCTCTATCATTATGTTTACGCATACAGTATGGGAAATGATGGCAAAAACAAGTGTACAAATTTATTTCAACAAGGTGGCATCATATTTTATTAATTTTAACAGTTACTTTTGTCAGCAACAAAACATCACTATTAGGATTATAAATAATCCTAGAATTAGTGTTGGCAGTGTAAATACAAATAATTAATTTATTTAAATAATTAATATAATTAATTTACTTCATATTGTGTTTAATTATTCACGAATTATTTTAATTATAGTTAAAAATTGTATTAAAAATGCCTGTCATTATATATTTTAATGAGTGAACATGTAAATCATAAAATTATTGTTGATTTAATTTAGCTGATTACAATAAATATAATAATTAACCTGTTGAAGTTTAAAAGTTTATGTGAATGACATTTAACTAACATTAATTATCATTTTGCTTTATTGACAATAAACAACATTAAAACATTTCGCAAACCATTAATTACCACACTTTGATCATGTGTATAAATATTTATTTAATATAAATAGTTACTATTTATAGATTAAGTAAAAAACCTAATAACTTATTATATCTATCAACTATATCAGTAATATGCAAACAATCAATGTACATTGACAGTGGTTTTAATTGAGCAAAATTATTAAGCAACCTTTATCGTGAACTTCAAACTAGATCATTCAGATTAAACTAGTTTGTATTAGCTTAAAACAAATACTCTGTTTATATTAATCCTATCTTCTAAATGTGTTTTTGTTTAAAATATTTCATTAATTTTGAAATTGAAAACACTTTTAGTTAAGTTTTCGCAAATTATGTTAAAATTTTATTTTTAATTTAGGAATTTAATAATTTTTTAATTTTATTAATGCATCGCAAATCAACAATTTTGTAAAACAACATGAAACTATTTTCAGGTATGTTTGTAAAAATTCACATTTATTATTAAATTACTATAACAGAAAATTTTTGCAATTTATATAATTTACCTTCATTTGGTATTTAATAAATTCTGTAACTTAATACAATAAGTGCACTTATATTTATTAACTAATTGCAGTAAAACCCCTTTGATATAAGCTATTTAAAAATCATTTACATTCTTAATATTGTAAGTTTTTATACAATAAAATTACCCTAAAAAATTATGCTAAAAAATTTTCTAATTAGTAATTAATTAATTTAATATAATTAGAAATTTATATAATGTTTAAAGGCTTGCAACAATTGTTAATGTTTTATTGTATTTATAAAATTAATTATAGTTTACGTTATTAAAATATTTAATAACTACATTGACATTTGTGCGATACAACCTGTTGCCAAAATAAACACAGTTACATCTATTTAAATATTTACCATTCACTATTAAATTTTAAAATTATACGCTTGTACTTGAATACCTGAAGACAAAGAACATGGTACAAAAGAGATTCAAATTATATAAATGTAAATCAAATTACAAATATTTTATATAACCTCATATATAAACTGAGTACACGAGTAAAAATACCCACATGCCTCTTTTGTGTTTGGTTTTGAGTTTAAATAATGATAAAATTTTATAATAATTTCAATTAATTGGTAGACAAAAGTATGCCCTCATATGATGTGTCGCCGATGGATAAAAAGCCAAGTACTGGACACCCAATGGTCAACAAGTTGGCCAACAATTGGCCAAAATGTGTTTACACCGCAATCTTTGTCTACACACACATCGCGTTTGTAATTAATTTAATTACTAATTATAATTATTAATAACATAATAATTTTATAATTCATAATAACTGTATATTCATAACATTGATCATCAGGGCATGACTATAACAATGTATCCACCGATAATGGTTGATATGAAGTACATTCTCCACACATCCATACGCTATGTATCGCTGTATACCACGTTTCTATCGGCCGGTTATATGTTGGGCACTGTTTGTAAGTATTAAACCCTGTTTATAAAATATAGCTTAAATATAAAACAACTAAAGTTCATATTAAGACTTAACCATATTATATATCTTACATAACTATACATATAGTTGGCTACCTATACGAGTACATCAACCGCCAGTTGACTGCCATAGTATTCCTAACACTAATGACCGTGGGTTCGGCGCTGACACCCCTATCGCCGGACCTGTGGTCACTGTACGCGTGCGCGTTCGCCATAGGTATGGGCGCCGCCGTCTGGAACACAATGGCCAACGTATGGCTGATCGAGATGTGGGCTAATCACAGCTCACCCCTACTACAGCTACTGCACTGCGGTTTCGGTGCCGGTACCATCATATCGCCCCTCATACTTAAAAGCCACCTGGTGGGCGAGACACGTTACCATGGTACTGATAGTATTAATAGTACTGTTAGTAACTATACAATGGACGGCAATTATAGCCAGGGTTTGGAAAAGGAGTTTAATGAACGCCGCTTAGGTCTGGTCATACCGTTTCAAATCAACGCTGCCATTCAGATATTATGTAAGTTGCCTGTTATAATGTTGACCATGATTACTTAATTTGCTTTTTGTTCGATAGCCCCGATAGCCATGTTGATCATGTTTATATTTCAACGCTACGAACCGCCGCCGTCACCGTTATCGTCGGCGCCGGCAGTGTTGGACAGTAACGACAATAACGTGACAAAACCGGTGCCGCCGTCCGGCAAACTACTCGACCGGTCGGGTGTGTGGCCGCGGCGTTGGTCTATAGCCTTGTTTTGCGTTTGGCTGTCCGCCTATTGCGTGGCCGAGAACACCCTCATGGGGTTTGGGGCCACGTATTTCCAGTACTGCCCCCTCCGGCTCAGCGCCCAGGAGGCGGCCCAACTGCTCTCCACGGCGGCCATAGCGTTCACCGCGGGTAGAGGTCTCAGCGTATTGACCGCTATCTATTTTAAACCCCAACAGATGATTGGCTACCATTTTGTGCTGTTAATGATATCGGTGGTAGCCCTGTATGCTGGCCAATACAACCTTAATGTATTACGCGTGTCCACCGTGATGGCCGGGTTAGGCTTGTCGGCCATGTGCCCGGCCATGTTCGCCTACCTGGAACAGTATGTGACTTTTACTAACCCTATGGGCGCAGTGGCTATATTTTCATCGGATTTGATAAATATGTTAAATCCGTATATTTTGGGCGTTTTTATCGAGAAGTTTTCGGAGATTGTACTGATTTTTGAGTCCATTTATGTAACACTTTGTTTGGTTTTATTTATATCGTTTGGAATTTTTGTAAGAAAGTTGTCTCAAATTAGTTCCGACACTCAAGCAAGTGGTGTTGAAACTCGGCTTAATAATACGGTTAAAACAATATAATGCAATTTTAGTCAATTATTTTCACTAATATTATTTGTATATAATATATTTTATAATTATAATCAAGATCTGATTTAACAAATTTCAATTTTTACTATAATAAAATTTTATTTATTTTTAGCAAATAAAACATTATTTTATTTAAATAATAGTTACCGCACAAATGATCGCGGTGGATTTTTAATAATAATTTTCATATCAGATAGATCATCCTGTCCGATTAAATGCTGTGTTATTTTATTGCTTATTATCATTGATTTTATTTAAAAATTAATTAGCATTTTACAATTTTTAATAACGTAAAGGTTATTAACACTATAAATAGTTACATAATTAATAATATTAGTTATATAATGACAATAATTAATCTAATCTATAATCATATAGCAATTATTTGGGACCAATTATAACACAATTATTTGAAAATAGTCGAGCGCACCGACCGTCCGGTGCTATTAAACACATACGCCATTAAAAGTCGCCGCAAACGGGCGAACGGCAACTCAAACACCGCCGCCATAACAGTCATCGCCACCCAATTGAGTCCAACGGCAACAATCATTACGATCACCGGCGGAACCGTACGGTACAGCCGGTCGGGCAGAGCCGAGTACAGGGATCGGCAAAACAACACGTGCAACAGGTATGAGGTATAGCTAACTGCGCGATACGGGCGCCACCAGCGCGACGATAGTATACGGCGGCATAGGCTGTGATGAGCACAGGTGTTGGCCACCCGTGTCATAGCGTAACCACCGATGAGTGTCGCGTACGCCGACAGACAGACCCGCTCTATGGCCACAAACATTGGTAAAGAGGTTACAGGTGTCGCCTCTGAGCTAAGACATAGCGCACACCACACGGCCGTAACCACTGTTGAATATGTCACCAGTTTTGGCCACAAATCCCACGAACGTATTGACTGCCAGTAATGTTTATCGGAGACTAAATAGCCCAGTAGTAG